TCTAATGAGCTAGGTCACGCTTATTGGAAGATGTGGAATAACACTTTTCCCCTCTAGTGCTATGCGCCAGCTATTTATTCCCATCGTGTTTTTTATTACAGTTTCTGCTATCTTTTCAATTTCTCCACTCAAGCTAGGATCTGCTTTGAAAACGGTTACGAATCATCAGCCTGATGCTGTAATTCCTGTGAATGATACTGGTCTGGGGACTAAGAACTAATTTTTAATTGGCCGTGATGGTTTTGTTTTTTAAGCAATGGATGTAACCACTCTCTAGGTTCCCTCTCTTGGGGCTTATGTTGATCCACTCTTGGCTGCTAAGAGATCCTGTTCACAGCCCTGGCGTTGGAAGAAGGCAGGGGAATTTGGGTACCCTGAGCTCCTTCCTAGCTAGCTTGGGTGCTCAGGTGCCGTGGCAATGGAGAACAACTTAAGAAATCCTGTGACGTTCAGGATTTTGAGCCCTCGGGGATGAGAAACAGCAGCCAGCACCCGGTGGCCTTGAATCCAGATGAAATACAGGTGGGCATTTTCTCACCTGCAGTTGGTTTAAGCTGCACAGTAGAAATTAAACATTGATTCAGTGGTTAGAATCATCTCCGTGAGATGTCGTCCATCCTGGCATAGAGAGTTGTGAGCCACTGAACTGGGAGATCTGCATCCCAGCCCGTCTGGGATACAGGGACACCAGCAAAGGGTGTCATTCCTCAAAGGGGGTTCTTCTGACCTTTAGTTTTGGTTGAGGAAATTGCACAGGGTAGTAAACAAAGTAGGAAATTGTGGTATATTAAAGATAATTTTTAGAGAGATTAGTTGGTAAGACGGGTATTTTCTGTAGTTGTTTCCTTTTGGGGTCTAGTCAGATTTTTTGTAAAATTTTGAACAGTCAGGTAGTGAGCTGTAAATCTCCAGGATTTTAATAAGAGAATTTAGAAATAGATTACTTAAATTTCTGAGAGCATTCATTGCAAAATACATATTTCCATTGCCTTCAAACTGAAACTAGTGTTAATTATTTGTGACAACTGTAGTAAAAAGGCTAAGTTATTGCTACAATTCGGGTTTGCTTGTGGTTTGTGTTTTGTGTTATTATTTTTTTATAGTGCCCCTTCAGACAGAAGGAATAAACATCATGAAATCTGATGTAGGTATAAAGCCTGACATCTTATGCTTTTGTAAAAATGTTTCAAGCTTCTCCAAAGAATGTTAGTTGAATCAATAAGTCAAGTAGAGGAGGCCTAAGGATAAGGCTGTCTTTTTCAGTCTGAGATTGCTTTCATGCCCACTCCACTTTAAAAAAAAAAAAAAAAAAGAAAAAAAAGGTGCACAGTTGGATGTCCACTCTTGCCCAGCTCCCAAGTGGATTGTGATTTAAAACTGGAGGCAGGGCACCACCTGCGCTGTTCGGCTGTTGTAATGAGGTCCCGGGAGAATTATTTCCTAGGGAATTATATGACTTGAATAAAAGGCCTGGCTGGCTCTTTTACTCTCTTCATATTTTTCTTATAATTCTGACTATTTTTTCCTGTTTGCAGTTTTCCCAAGCTGATAGCATCCTGTGGAGCTGGTGAACTGCAGTGATAAGCGATACAGCAAATAATATACGGGATACATAAAGAGGGTTGAGGTAGGGTATTGTAAATGGCAGTGCTCTGGCATTGTGGATTTCAGGGATATAGTGCTTTACATCAAGGAAATTTAGACCCTGCTGGCTATCCCAGTTGTTACTCAGAAAAACACAGTATTTGTGGACTTTTGTACATCGGTTGATATTTTGCACTGGGAATAGCCTGTAAGAAGTCTTGGAATTGATAGTTAGGCAGCTGTGGTGTATGGTGACTGATTCCTCGGTCCTGGAACAGCTTTGCCCCAAATGCAGCACAGCAGTGAAGGAAGCAGGCAGCAGTGCCAAAGTGAAGAAATCTCAATAGGTTTTTTTTCGGTTGGGTGGTTTGGCTTCTTTTTTTTTTTTTTTTTTTGGGCGGTGGTAGTGGTTTGGGGTTTTTTTATTTTGAGTCTTCATGTTGTAATCCACTATCTGTTTCTCCTGCAGCTCTGATGGCAGAGAGGTGGTGGAAGGGTGCTCACATCAGCTGCAGAAAAGGTGGTAGGGTTAGTTTATATGGTATTTATTGATGGTTTAAGCTAACAGGGCACTGGCAGCGCTGAGGAGTGGCTAGAGGCAATGTCAGCTGCCAGCAGAAACAGCCTGTCCCGGCCCTGAAGTGACAGCTCCGCAGCAAAACCCAGCCGAGGGCACTTGTCCCTGCACCCCCAGCGTTAGGACACTGGGATGGGGCAGTCATAGAATCGTAGGATCGGTTAGGTTGGAAAGGACCTTTAAGATCATTGAGTCCAACCGTAGTTGGTTGGACGTTGCAGGTTGTAGGAACAGGTCTGTCTGCTCACCTCTGTCAGTGGTGGGCAACAGAGACTGCCTGCCTCTTGCCATTTCCGTAAAGAGAGCTTGTCTCTGGATATATCTTTCTTAAGAAAGAAGGCTTGTCACGGTAATTTAAAACACGGGAGTGAAAACCTGATCGCTCAATAACTTTTCTTACTTTACTTTTTGTTCAAAATTTAGAGTAAGCTATTTTTAAAAGTTTTTAACACACACAAGGATTTAATTACAACCTTTTAAAAGAGAGGTGCAGGTATCTTTGGCCATAGCAAGTATATCAAAGTATCTCATGGGTGTATTTACTGTGTGACAGGGCCTGGTGCTCTGTAGCAGTCTGCCATGTGAGACACGTAGACTTCAAAGGACACGAGAAGCCTTCAAGAAGGCGAATTCAGGATGCTTGTTGTCAGGGGTCCATAACTGGAGCTCCATAACTGCAGAGCACAGAACGGTCCGTGGATTTTTCTGTAGCCTTGCTGATGTAGGACTTGTGACTTTCTTGGGACCTTGGTGACTTGGAGGAGGAGGAAAAGTCCTGGTCATAGTCAGGAGTAGGAGTGGGTCTAGCACTTGGGCAACGCACTCTTAAAATGGCTTTCTCTGCCTGTTCTGCAGGTCCCTTTCCTCTGCCCTGCCTGTTGGTGTTGCAGGTACCCCCAAGCACAACGCACCACGTGTTCCTCTCCTTGTGCCCTAAGCGGCAAAATAATTTGGTAAAGTCGCAAATCAATGCAGTGTTTTTCTAGAAGGTTTATCGGGTTTATTTTGCGTTACATAAAGAAGAGCCATTAGATGGGTCGCATCCCTTCTGCGTTAATCCAGTAGCACGAACGCGGAGCGAGAGCGCTGCTCTCCTTATCTGCTCTCCAATCTTTGAACTCTTACATAATACATTTAAGACTGGTTTTTGAGTAATCTCTTTTGGGGTCTTATTTTGCATTCTTAGTCTCCAGTAACATTTCTTCCCTCGTGAAATCCTTTCCAGAAGGTACACATTATCTGCTACGAGGCAGGGCAACGATGAGCATCAATTTCCACGGCAGAGTAGAAGCCTGGATTACAAATTACTATTTAATCCTTTTTGCGTCAAAGGATACAATAATCCTTGTAAAATGTGCTCTAAGTCTTATGCTTGGCTGTGTGAGGTTAAGGGCCAAAAATCAAAACAGGGATTCTCTTAAAAAGTCAGACATGGCAAAATGCATGTGTTCCACATGAATTTCAGAACATGTTTATGACTACATTGCAGCAGCTAAAAATAAAGATGATGGGCTGGTACCTAGACTAACAGTCTTATTTTCTCCATATGCTTGCTACTACTCTGCTAGAATACAGTAAGTGTCTGTCATGAGGGTTGCTTGCTGAATTGCAATAAAGAATTTAGGCACAAAGTAAGCATTGCTCAAATTTGAATTTTTTTTTTATTTTTTTTTTTTTTAGCCCCCACCCATGAGAACATTTACCAAAACTGACAAATGAGGAGGTCTCTTAGGAATGTGAGATAATTTGGTTTATTTTCTGAATCATCCTGTTATGAGTGTCAAGCAATGTGATTTTGTAAGTGAGAGAAGGGTAAATAAAGTAGGGAGGGGTAAGGATTTAGTGTTTGAAATTGCAGACTGATGGCTGCACAGTTTCCTGACCAGGCAGCTATTTTAAGAGGGGTGAAGTTTAATAACTTACAAAGTTCAGAAAATACATCCTGCAGTGACAGACCTACGGTCCTTTGACTGACATGATTATTGTCGCATTGAGCGTGCTGTGATTTTGTTAGATAAAAAGCAAAACAGGTTAGTTGTTTGGAACCAATAGCTTCATATGATTAGTTTATTCCATATTTTTATTACTGGCCTCTGTCCTAAATCAAATGTGGTGTATTGGATAGCATCACGCCCTCTTACTGTGTAGCAACCCACAGAGAAAACCTGAAGGTAACTGGTGGCAGGTATGCAATATTACTAATGGAAAGAACAGGGTAAGCGGTTTGTTGCTGTTGTTTTTAATGCCATGTATTTAGAACTTTAATGTGTAATATTCTACATTAATAGTCAAAATCCCAAAAAGAGAGTAGGACCAGATTAAAATCGTAATCTCGTATTAAAGAACACTTTTAATTACTTGGTCATATAACCATTATTCCACAATAGGGTATTTCTGTGCTGGATGCTAATTGCACGCGTCTAGTGTGACTTTGCATAATGCGGTGTCCTTGCTGTCACAAACTGGTCATCTTGCAGGTGAAAGCTGTGCAGTGCAGCAGCTGTTGTGGAGCCGTAAAACGTTTATGTTGTAAAAGGAATCGTACGTACAGATTATTTTTTGTTGCTCTCTTCTCTGACAAAGTTACAGAGAACAGGAATGTTCTCTTAATCTGTCTAGCTGTTGTGTTTTGGTAAACCCAGAAGTCAAAAGTTCTGACAAAACTTTGATAATTCATGCAAAATGAATAATTTTTATATCTTTATTTATTGCAGAAAATGACACTTGACTGAAGAGCGTAAGTCACCCTGGAAGAAGTTGCTTCCCTCAGCTTTACATGAGCAACCCCATCCTATGAGGAGGAGGAGAAGGAGGATCCATCAGCCGCCTTAGCTGCACCATGGGGACTACCGGTGACGACATGGCTTCGGTGGAGCAGAATGCCTCCTTGAACCCTCTGTGCTTCGAGTGTGGCCAGCAGCACTGGACAAGGGAGAACCACCTCTACAACTACCAGAACGAAGTGGACGACGACTTGGTCTGCCACATTTGCCTTCAACCCTTGTTGCAGCCATTGGACACTCCCTGTGGACACACTTTCTGCTACAAGTGCCTAAGGAACTTTCTGCAGGAGAAGGATTTCTGCCCGCTGGATCGCAAAAGACTCCATTTTAAACTCTGCAAAAAATCCAGCATTCTTGTTCATAAACTGTTAGACAAGCTATTTGTTTTGTGCCCCTTCTCTTCCGTGTGTCAGGAAGTCATGCAGCGATGTGACCTGGCGGCACATCTCAAAAACAGGTGAGCGGTGCAGATGTTTGCGTTGCATGTTCCTTACACGCTTGGTAGGCGAGTCTGTGTAGCAGTAGAAATTGGGGACAGGAGAGGGTTGGTGGTGGTTTTTAAATTCCCAGTAGAAGACCTTAGGAAATGGTCAGTCTGTAACTGTGCACAACTAGAGCACTGGATCCCGTTTTGGACATCGCGCCAGAAATAGTGAAGAACGCTTGGAGAGAGTCACGGGGAGAACGGCATGATTCACTAGAGGTCTCAGAAACATGACTTAGCTGAAAAAGTTAAAGAAAATGGGGGTTGTTTATGGTAGGGGGAAAAAGACTGGGGAAGGGGAAAAATGAGAGGTGTGCAAACTCTGTCTGCAAAGAGGAAGGAAATAGTGCAATAGGAGCAAAGGAGATTTAGTTCAGATTTTAGGAAAAGAAGCTTTATAATGATCTGGCACTGGCACAGATTGGTTGGGTGGTGGTTGTGTGTTCCCCACTTTGAGAAGTGTTTATGAACGTGTTAAATCAAGGAACGGTTACGGCAGAATTGATTCTGCTTTGAGGTAGGCAGGTGGACAGGGTGTCTCTTGAGACTCCTGCAAGACCTGTTTTTCTCTGTTTTAAACAAATAAATCTGTTTACTGAACAGGTTGATGATATGTCTAGTGAGCATGATATAGTTTCTAGGATTTTTTTGTTTGTTTGCCGCGATTGCTTATCAAACACTTCCAGCACCCTCTTCCTTCGGTCGAAACTCATCCCTTCACACCAGTGGGAAGTTTTGGTGCAGCTCTTGTGGGTGATTTTGTACATTCCAGTATTACCTGCGCCTAAATGTTTGGGACTGTATTTTGAACTCTTAAGAATTTTATAGTTGTTCTGCTTTATGCTGTCCTCCCTAAATATTTAAAAATTTAAAAAAGGCCATGATGGAAAGAGGGAAATAAGACGATTATAAGGTTGGACCTTGCAGTCCCTTCCAACCTGGTATTCTCTGATTCTGTGATTATCAAATTCAGGTAGAATGACACTGCGTATTGTGCAGACTGGTGCACTTTGTTCTTCCAGCAAAGGAATTGCCTCTGTACCGGCTGTGCCGTGCCCTGCTATGTGAAGATGTTTCATTCTTCCCTGTAAGGCAATGCCATTTTTCTAATAGAAAAATGTTAAACTTGTTTTGAGTGGTACGTTTGACTACTTTTGTTTCCTCTATAGGTTGGAGAATATTTTCTGTAAATAAACAGGGTTTTTATAATCATTAGCAATTTCATTACGTGAGTCATGGGCAAAAACTTGGGACATACCATTTATGTTAAAGCTAAAATATGGTGGAATTAATGAGTCAGGGCTAAAAGAAATATTCTGTGTATCAATACCAACTAACTTTAAACTGTTTAGAGATTATGAAATCGTAAGAGGAGTATAGTGAGGAATTATGTAGGGAAGGAAATTAAGTATTCAAAAGAAATGCATCTGACTTCAGAGGATCCAGTTCAGGTGAATTGCATCTGCTACCAGAAAATATTGCCTGTGTACACCTCAATGCTATTTGAAAACCTACGTTCATTTCGCAGAGAGAGGTTTCAGAAAAGTAGGTAACTGTCCCTGCAAAAAAGCCTCAAAGCCGGAAGAGTGAGCATTGACGCCTCTCCGTTGTACGTAGACAGAAGGCACTAGGGACATCCAACTCAAGATGTGAGCGTTTTTGTTAGCAACATTCCTAAAAACAAGCACATTGTCTAGTGACTCTTCACGAAAACGGGTGGTACGAGTCCTGGCTCTTCTGGTCTGCTCAGTCACCAGCTGCCATGAGATCTTTTCATTTCCATGACTTCATCGTGAGCTTTGTTCTTACCTGTTTTGCCTTCTTTCAATGTGATACTTTTTTTTTTTTTTTTTTTTTTTTTTTTAAACCGGCCTGCATAAACTTCAGCAGTTGCCTGTTTCATGAGGGTGTCTCATGGTTTGGTAGTCTTACCTGTGCTGGCTCTCTGGGCAAAGAGCCCTCTGCATTAGGGTTAAAGACCCCAGGCCCAGGGGGAGGGACAGTGGAAGAGGTTTCCTTCCCCCTGTACCTCCCCAAAAGGAGGGTGGTGTTAGCTCTGTGCCTCCTCCGTCCCACCCAGCGACACTGGTGGCTGCCCGGATGGAAAAGGTGCGTGGATGTACCCCATGAACTCCTTTCCAAGTCTCTGTTGATTTGGAGGTGAGAAAGCCTGTTTGTTCCATTTATAATCCTAATATTAAACCGATCTGATTTTAATAAAAGGCAAAATGCTGGCAAGACTCCTGCTACACATTTGGTTCATCTTCTGGTTTCCTGCTGTCATCTCCCTCACCTCTTCGGTCCATTTTCCTTGGTCGGCATCTCTTTGAGTGAGATTAGGGCTGTTTACAACAGGGCCACGTGATTTATTTGTACGTGGAACACTATGTATGCTCCCTTTAGGTATACGTGAAATGTTCATTTACACAAGGTTATTAGGAAATCTGGGTGAGCTGAGTTGCTAGCTTTTCCTGTTTGTTGGCTGGAAAAAAGCTTTCAGTTGCAGAAGGCTGCTCATTTTCTATTCCTTCTGTTGTCTTGGGATACTGATACGCGTTTTGAATATATGGTGATGTACAGTTTTCAATTAAGTTTATTTGCAAACATGTGAACACCTGTAAATTATCATTGCTGACATAAGCAATGGCAGCAACTGCGTAGTTTGAATTTTATTTTATATGCGTTAGTGAATCCAAGAAAATTCTACTACTGATCATTAAATGTAGGAAAGAAATATAAAATTCAGTATTATGATAATTTTCAGCATAGATTAATATAAACCAGTCTCAACAAGCCCTTACGTGAGCTAGTTTGTATTTCTAAGAAATGCGGTATGGTTGGTTAGTTTTCACTGTCTAAAAACATTCACACTCAGGTTTTCCAGTGTTGTTTTAATCGGCTCCGTTTGAGTATAAAAGCTGGAAGAAAATGTCATCGTATCCACCAGGCACCTCGGAATGCAAGGTTACTGCAAACTGCTCCAGCAAGGAGATGAGAGGCACCAGATGCAAACTTGATTACTTCATGGTCACTAATTGCACTTCATGATACCTCATTGCATAAAGAAAATATTCTTCATTTATCAGTCTTTCCATTTCATCACATTCACTTGGGAGCTGTGGTTTTTAAAGTTAAACACAATGCACAGATTCTGATTTAAAGGGAAAAAAAAAAGTGAGTAATGCTGAGTGGTGCTGTTTTTCCCAGTCACTTGATATAGAAAATTTGCTAATGTTTAGTAAGGTAGATGCCGATTCCACTTCTAAATATCAAAAGTAAATCTTTCAGAAGGAAATCTGGAAAAAAATTACCGAGTTTTTCTGTGTATGATTCTTAATTCAGTTAATTCTTACGAATTATTCAGACCTGAAGAAACTCCACTGTACAAAAACATACTCTGAAATTTGTACTGCTTTTTAATGAGAGGGTTAGGTATTGTGTTTATGTATTGCTTTTGAGTTGGGCTTCCATTTTCCCTCCTATATTCTCCTGTGATCGTTTCAGTTCTCATTTTGAATGGAGATATTTTTCCAAATGTTTTAATGTTGAGGCCAACATTCAAGCCAATTTTATGTCACGTCAAATTTGAACTTTATGTAGGATTGTATTTTCTGGAATTGAAGAAAGCATTGAGCTACTCACTGTGTGTCACTTGGCACGCTTAATACATGGATTTAGATCCAACAAGATCTGCGGGCAAATTAGTTGTACGGGTACAGAATTTTATCATTCAAAATCTTGGCCATCCCAGTTATTTGGGGTTTTGTGATGGCGCTGTCCATGTTAGCTGCCAGCACCGTCCCTGCCCTGCTGGGTGTAGCAGCAGGAGAAGCCAAGGGGGTCTGTAGGATGTAACCGTCTTTTGCCCGGTCTTTTCTTACACCCGAGTAAGCGAATAGGCAGCAGATCTCCATTGCTGGAAAGGTGAAGGATCTTTCCATGGTTGTTCCCTGCTCTGAAGCCACCAGGTTCCTTGTAGGCTCCTCAAATTGTTGGGTGCGAGAGAGAAATGAGCAACAAACCCACTTCTTTTTCTTTTTCCTGAGTCTTCTCTGATTCCCAAACCTAGATAACTCCTAGTGCCTCCTTTTCTTTTCTCTTTTTTTTTTTTTTTCCTTCTTCTTTCTTCTGCTGGCAAAGGAAAAACCAAGATGGAAGCACTTAACTGTCCAAAGCAGCACCGTGGTTTACTTTGAATTGCAGCTGTAAGTCTTGCCACGATTATTGCTTAAGGTGACTTTGCTGGCAAAGTTTTAGGAGCAATAGCAAAGGCGTTTGGGTTGCTTCTCTGCAGTCTTTGCTTAAATTCAGCTCCTGCTTGGAAAATGATTTAGTGCATCTGGTTTGAGGCTATTTGTTTGCTTTCATCAAACCTCTAGGCTGGGCAGAAGCTGATTGCATAAGTTACAGTGAAATCTTTCTTTTCAGTAGTCAGTGAGCAAATGTGTTTTTCGAGCCCCTACTGTTATTCCACGGAATACACTGTAAACTACATCTTAATTTTGTATGAAAGCTCTTTTTATCTGCAGAGAGGGATTGCTGCTAGTGTTCCAAGAAGTCAGTTTTTAAATGAGAAACCCGGCAGACTTGGCTGTTAAAAGAAAAAAATAAATTTTCTTCTCTGTTTGATATGGCTTAAGAGAAGTTGCAGGTAAAAGCTGTGCTTTGTTACCATCCAGAACTGAGGAAAAGCTGGTGCTGGAGGGAGGCGAGGAGGGAGTCGATGAATATAAGCAAAAGGTCATTTTACATCCCAAGAGCAACTGCCCCTCAAGTTTCCCGATAAATAACATCACTTGGTTTAGCTGGTTGTTTCAGTATCTCCTCTCTTAAACGTCTTGATTTATGAAAGAAATTAAATAATTGCTGGAAATTCTAAAAAACATTCCTGCCTTTCTTCTTGCTTTTAGCCATGATACTCTGCCTTTGTAGGTAGGTATGAAATGCCATTCCTGTAATGACTCATTTCAGTCTCATTTCAACCCTTATTTATACAATTTGTTGTATGAGAATGGAGTCCTGTACCCATAAAAAGAAAATCTTCAGTGCTCATTTTGATCCCGCGATGGCCATCTGTGTACGTAACTTGTTGCAAGATTGAGTCCAAAACGCTCTTTATCCCACATATTTGTCAAAAACAGTATTAGGGAAGGTGTGCACCTTTAGAGATTTATTGACACTTGTTAACTGTTACAACTGCTGTATGGTTTTGCTGTTTGTGAATAGTACATTCCTATTGCCAATAAAAATCATTTTATGTTGCAAGTGGAAATGAAAAATCTCCTTATGGCTGTGCTTGAATACCAATACTGGGCTTTGCTGCTTGCTAGGTGGCATATCGAGTGTAAAGACCGAGGAATTGGCATCCCGTGAATTAACGTCTCCACCAGACAACTGCTTTCTTGGCAATGCAGTTGCACCATACCAGGCTGAAAGTCGTAGTCTGTTACAATTACTGGTGAATTTGGGGAAGAATCTGGGATTTTGTTTTCCCCCTTTTTTGCATTATGGAGTGCTTCACAAAAGGGATTCCACTGAGCTGAGTAGGTGTGCTCGGGAGGCTGTTTACATTTCTTGATATTAGCCTTTGAAATGATAATTAAATATCATTGGCAAAAATAAACCTCAAATCTATTTACGTTTCGCGCGACGACTTTCATCAGCTGCCAGGTGACGATGGGGGAATGTGCTCTGCGAAGGAGGGTGGAGGAGGACCTGGCTGTGGTTTGGAAGGCTTTGACAGAAATTGGGCACTTCAGGGCTGGTTTTTGTTCTGTCCTGGTTTGATACAGTTTAAAAAAAAAAATAAAAATTTTCCAAGGTCTGCTTTGCCGTCTGCACCAGGTCCTTCAGGATCGGCAGGCCTTGTGAGCTGGCTGAGTAGGAGTGGACAGCCCAGTTTTGGTAGAAGATCCCTAGGGAAGCGCCTGGTTCACAGAAGCAGCCCTGTAAGGCTGGACTCTGCCGTCCAAGCTCAGCAGGATTGCAGCGTGGTCCTCCGACAGCGTCCGTTTTGAGCTATTCGTTCCCCTCTTTGCTGAAAAATGGCCACTCCTGTGGCAGAGCAGTTCGGGGATGGCAAGGACGCGCAGCGTTGGGGTGGCTTTGTCCTCAACTCTTGGGGATCGATGCTTTGGGAGAGCAGCTCTATCAGAGCCCCCGGTAGACAAGAGGTTTCCTCTGCAAAAGCGTTTACCCCTTGCTGTGTTGCTGCAGAAGTGAGTGATGTTGGAGATCCATCTTTTTTTTTTTTTTTTTTCTTTTTTTCCCCCTGTTGCCAGTGCTAAGATTTGGGGGAGTGTGAGACTGACCCATGAAGTTAAAGTATTTTAGAATATTTGAGGGAAGGGGTTGCATCTCTCCTTTTCGTGGCCTTTTGGGATTCTTGTTTTGAGGTTCGCGTTGTGAAATGGTCAATGGTAATTTCCTGCTGAGTGTCACCTGTAACTGTGTGTCTCTGGCCACCAGAATAAATTGAGACTGGCCAGATTTCTTAGCTGATCAGTCCCGCTATGCCAATGATTTGATGTAGTAAATATTACCTGGGCAAAACCAAGAAGTAGGGTTGTCTTCCATCATTAAAATCAGAGAAACTTTTTCACAAGGCAGAACCTTTCAAATCATTTTTGTCTTCCATGCTTGTATTTTCTTCACTTTGAAGAACAAGATGACCAGCAGTCACCTTGGGGACAGCCCCAAGAAATGATTTCTTAAACGTGTCGTTTCATAATGTGACCTGTCTCTAATTTATGTATTTATGTATATTTCACAGCACATTTGGGTTACCTTATGCTATTCTTCTAAACGTGTATGTCATGACTGTAATGTATATACAATGATCGATCCATATCCGTATCTCTCTCACGTTATGTGTGTATGACACTGCTGGGGGTCACAAAAGCTATACAGGTGTCTTTATGAACATTCTTTGGAGCTGAATAACTTTGTTAAGACTCCTTCAAAATCCCTCATGCCCAAACAGTCTAACCATAAGATTATCGAATCCCCTTCACAGAATGTCAGAACAGAATTGTGATTCTCAAAACACTCTGGTTTAACAAGTTAGGACATCGCGAGTCTTCTGCTGTCTTTTACTCTGTTAACACATTTCTTCTCCCGTTGCAAAAATAAATCCTTTCTTCTTTTGTTTTAACAATCTGTCACGTTCCCAAACAGGGAGTCCTTTCGAGAACACGGTTCCTTTTTTCTGACACTGCTGCGGTACGAGCATCTTTAGGTGGTTAGCAGCTCCAGAGGCAGGAGCTTTAAGAAGGACATCAAATACTGTGAGAAGTGACACAGCAGACACTGGCGAAACTGTCACGCGGACAGGTGTAAGACTGGTGTCCGCATCCAATTATCTACACGTAAATGTAAGACCATTCGATAAATGAAAGCTTTCTGTGAATTTGCAAAATGGGAGCCCTTCTTTGCGATAAACTATTTGTAGCATTTTAAATAAGCGATTACACTAAGGATAATGAGAATTCACAAAAATGAGTGAAAAGCGCCAGAAATAGTGAAAAACGCCAAATGCTGATGGAGCATCGTTACACGAGGGAAAGGAAAAAATTGCACCTGCTGTGTGAAGTCAGGAAATAAAAAGAGGAGGCAGGAGGAGGATGAAACATCTTTTGTTTCAAGAGGAGACGGTGAGCAGAGCTGTTACTTCTGCTAAACTTTTCATACAAACTCCTAGTCAAGCATGATTTTTTTTTTTTCCCGTATTTTAACACTTCGATTGCAATATAGGTAAAATTTTCATCTCTTTCTTCCCCTCAATGACACCAGGAAAATATGATGCTTTCTTTTCTTGGCTTACTAAAGTGAAAGGAGATTGCTTCAGTGGGTCTCCAAATGTGTCTTTGAATGGGGCTTCTGTGGAATTTTGCGCCAGTCCTGTTTAATCTTTCCAGCAAGGTTATCTGTCAGAAACTGGAATGTACATAACGGCGTAAGTCCATGTTCAGAAGGTGTTACAGTGCATTTAGCTTGTGGACAAAAAACTATGTAGTTTTGTGAAGAAGGCAGTATTGTTTTGGGGTGCTGTCCACTAAAATGTATTTTGGCCTTAAAATGCAATGTGTTTAATATTTTTTTACGATTTGTTTAAAGCTGTGGCTTTGAAGAAGGCAGATTTCATTTGATGGAGTGCTGGGGCATTTGGTGCTACAAGCATTGCTGGAGGCTTGAAGCATGGTATGAATGTTGTGTTCACAGGTGTCCGGGGGCTTCTCATCGGAGGGTTGCTCTGGAGAGAAGGAAAACCAGCAAGCTGCAAGCAGAAGCCGAGGGCGAGAGCGGTCCCAGTCCCAGTGGGATGGAGCAGCCAAGCAGTTTATCTCCGGACGCCGATCAGGGAATAGTGCCTGCCGAGCAGAGCTTCCCCTCGCCCGCCCTTCCCGCGTGGACAGACGAGCCTGGCATCGACAACTTGCCTTTTGAGGAGAGCACGGTAGCAGACAGTATGTCATCACTTATCTTCTCGACTCTCTTTTGTCAAATATGGAAACATCTGTGGTGTCGGAGCTTGTCTCTTACCAACTGTGAATGCGCGTCGTCTTCTTCTGCTCTTGTCTTTTGCAATTCCTGCAGAAATACTAACGGTTTTTTGTCACGTGCAAGTATACAACTGGGATAAGGTCACAGTTAGGTAGGAAGGAAATATCTCAAGAGCACGTGCCAGTTATCACGGTGCTGTGTCATCGTTTATCGTATCATGGTGCCATAGTTCATGTTAATCTACTAGTAGCGCTAGCCTCACAGCGAGATGGCAGGAGCGTAATTTCTGTAAAAAAGTTGTTTTCTAAGATGAGATTTCTTTTCCCCTCTTCCCCGACCCGGACCAGCAGCCTTCCCACGCACGGAGTGCTGTCCTGCTCAAGCGAAAAGGCAGCTAAGTAACTCCTGCAGCCATCTGCACCGAGCGAGCAGTAACGTCTCTAGCATCTGGGATTTTAGAGAGGAAGCGCTGAGCCTTACGACAGAGGAAGGTGGTCCTGTCCGCTTCCTTCTCCTCTGTATTTACCATCCTTTAGCATCCTCCTTTTTTCTCTTTAGTTGTCTCCAGTTTGCTTCAGAAGTGGGCTCCTTCTCTTGTCCCAGTAGCTCGGTAGCAGCTCCTAGTGCAGTTGTGAGACCAGCTGATGAAGAGGCATGACCAAGTTGTGTGCCGTGGGGTAACCCCTAAAGCGCATTTTTATCGTCCCCCCCAAATATGAATATACAAGTGACCTGATTGGAAATGAAGTGTATGAAATTTATTATAAAGAACAGGATCCCAAGGGTTCAGAATATCCTTTTCCAATCCAAATGGCCCCATTTCAGGAAGCATGGATGCTGCTGAGTCGTTAGAGAGCTGCTTCTAACGAGCTAGGTGTTCCAACAAGTAGTGGAACTAATCCAATTGCACTTGTTTAGTTTGTTGTTAAACCGTTGTCGTGTGGCCTGTCTATGTTGTCCTTTGATTTGCTTTATTGAAAGTGAATGAGGTATAAAGGATATTAATCATCTTTCTTTTTAAAAATAATTGGCAGCAAATCAACAGCCACCTACCCTGCCTGAAGGAGAGATCACTACTATTGAAATTCATCGATCCAATCCTTATATCGAATTAGGAATTAGCATAGTGGGTGGCAATGAAACGCCTTTGATCAACATTGTCATTCAAGAGGTTTATCGAGATGGGGTCATTGCCAGAGATGGAAGACTTCTTGCTGGAGACCAAATACTTCAAGTATGGAACCTAATTACGTATTCTGTCTGCCTGCTTTCCATTCACTCCTTGCAGAACCGCCTGTTAAATGAGATGGGAGATTTTCCTTGTCAGGCTATGTTGTGTAAATGTTAGCGTTGCAATTATCAGTTGGAAGGCAAATTAATATTCAGAGCAGAGCCTGTTGTTCTAGCGCTTTTGGCTATCATGCTTTATGTTGTTTGTCAGACCAGTTCCTGGAATTATTTTTCTTCCTTAGCATCTCTTATCAATGTTTAAAATACGAGTTTATTTTTCTGTTTTTAAATGTTGTGGGACTTGATCTTTATTTCAACTTTAGGCATGCTTTCCAAAGGAACCCGAGGTTACTTTTGGCTAACCAGTTGGCCAAATTTCTCCTATGTAAAAAGCAATTTGTGGATTGTAAGGCTGACTTCATCTAAACTGTCATTTTAATCTGGCTTCACTGTTACCTTCCAATAGCCTAGGCGGTTGACCTGCATCTTTCAGTATGTGTAAAAAAGTCAGCGATATTCTTCACTGGCATGATTTGAAGCAAGGCGCTCTAAATATTTTTCAAAAGAAGTAAACAAAATTAACAAAGTATTTTTATTACAGTTTTAAGTAGCTAGCCACAGGCAGTGTAAAAAGATCAAATGGTATTAATTTCGGAGTTATTTTGTTTTAGGGGAAGGGGTTGTTTATAGGACTCAAGAATGGCAGTGACCCAGTCCTACATAAACAGGACAGTCCTCCAGCTTATTTCTATTTTTAATCATTCCACCTGAAACAAGTATATTAACATCATTTCAAAACGATGTCAGTAACAATGTTTGCATTTGATCTGATGGCCTAAGATCAGTCCGAAAGTAGCATCAGCCTTTTTCATTTCACGTTTTTTTTGAAATCAAGCCGATAGAGGTAGCTTAAATACTGTCGTTACCCTTGGAATGAAATTAGTTTGCACTTCAGAAAATGAAGTCCCTTTTGAGAAACGTGCCTTTTTCCTCTCTTGGAGTGTTAGCATAGTGGCTGGCCGAGAAAGCAACCCAAGAGGTTTCCAAAATGTTGCCTTTTTAATGAGCAGTTGCAGACACTGATTGAATGCTACCTAATTTATTTCGATACTCAAGGGCTCTCCTTGGTTGCCAGAATAGGGAGCCCGAGCTCCAGGGAAGCTTTGGAAATTCTTGCTGTTTAGGCAGGTGTCCTTTACAGTTTCCAAAGCCATAAGTGGCAATAAATGGACTGGAAATAAGATTTATAAGCTGCGGTGAGTCTTCCCCATCAATGTGCTGGCTCTGGGGCTGTCAGATGCCAGGAGGATGCCCACGAGAGCCCTTCTGTCATGCCGAGGGAGAGGAACAGGAGGTAAAAGCCAAGCTTTTTGGAAGATACATCGTCTTCATTGCTTTGAATTTACCTGTGCAGGTGCTGAGCTGTTGTATTAAAATGACCAGGCTCGGTCTCTGCCAGCTGTAATTAAGTACAGGGTTAGATGCAGCTCAGCGTGCACGCCTCAGTCGGGTATTTCCGAAAATGTCTTCAAAGGCTTTTATGAGAAGTAAAGGACTAAAAGAAAGCCAGAAAGGACTGTGAGGTGAAACTCAGCATTTTCTTGCCCAGTCAAACAAGAAGTATTACCCTTTCAAGATCTGAGGGAGCAGCCTTTAGTAACAGCTACATAAAAGCGTAATGTTGTCTACAAGGTGTAGATAGGTGCCTAACATTTTCAAAGTGCTCGACAAATTGTCCCTTTTTTGGCTGGACTGCAACTGTAATTCATGTAAAACAAGTCCAACGAGAATTTCTTTCCCCAAGAAATGCTAAGGCTGTTTTATTCTGAAATTGCAAACTGCCTTGTAGAAAGAAGAATTACGTTTTATTGCGTATGTTCTTCTGTGCCCTTTGAATGCTTCCATATTTTATGTATTTACTTTAGCTAGCGACAGCTAAAAATAAAACTAGATTTAATTTAAGGGCTCTGACGGATGAGCCCTAGGGGCTTTTGCAGGCTCTCTCCTAGCTCTGCCCCCTTTCCCTCCGCCCCAGGTTACAGCCTGTCTCGGGACAGCAGCAGCCCGGGATGCGACCGTGGTTCGGTGTCTGAGCGTGGTCTGTTGGGGTTCGTTTCTATCTGTTAAAATTATAGGGCAGGGGTTCCTCCCTCGGGGCACAATAGTACGTGTGAAGGATGAAGTTTCAGTGTTAGCTTTGAACCCCTTCTTACGGAACAAGGCAAATACAGCTTTTGTGCTGGTTTTTGCGGTGCTCTAGTTTTCTGCCAAATCGCATTGCACTGTCCGTTCTTATCTTAACCTCATAGCGCAAGAAATGACTGAAGATTACTGATCTTTCTATCAGTGGGCCACGTAACAAACAGAATTTTTGTTTAGAAGGAGGGAAAGTTCATTCTGTTTCTCATTGACAAATGAATTTTGAGTGACGCAGGTTATAAGTCTGAAACTCTGACCTAGTTGAAGTCGATGGAAAAATCTCCTGAGTTCTGGAGAACTGGTACAATCACCTTTTTCTACTGTCTTAATGAAGAAATATCATTATTGTGGATTTCAAAGGTTTTTTTAATTTTTCACATCACGGAAGTACTGCGGATTGTTAGACATAAGTTTTCTTCAGAGATTAGGATGTATCCTTTGAATAGCTATGATTTTATAGTTTGAAGTGATGCTGGGCTTGACACTGAAAGCACATGCAAAGTTCTTGTTCTGGAGAACAAACCATGTGAAGATCTATGGAAGACAAGTCTCAGAGATCAGGAGAACAAGAACCCTGGACTATGATGACAGAGAGTGTTCACTGTTAGAAAGATGTTGTCACCTTTGTGGGAAAAGGCCTCAAGTTTCACCAGGGGAGGTTTAGAGTGGATGTTAGGAAGAATTTCTTCACCCAAAGGGTTGTCAAGCCCTGGCACAGGCTGCCCAGGGAAGTGGTGGAGTCCCCATCCCTGGAGGTGTTTAAAAGATGTGTAGGTGTGGTGCTTGGGGACATGGTTTAGTGGTGGGCTTGGCAGTGCCAGGGTAACGGATGGACTTGATGATCTTGAGGGTCTTTTCCAACCTAAAAATAGGTTTGTAGATTGAGCAGCCAAAGTGGGTTTGCAGAGGAGGATGGAAGGGTGAGAGAGGAAGCCTGGTAGGGTCAGATACGTCGGTTGCTCCAAGGTTGGTTTTGCAGTGAGCTCTGAATTTAGTTTGGAGAGGACTTTATTTTCATAACCAGCAACAATGAAACACCTGAAAATATCATTCTGATTTTTGTTGTTGTTGTTTTGCAGGTCAACAGCTTTGACATAAGCAACGTGTCACACAACCACGCTCGAGCCGTGCTTTCCCAGCCTTGCTCGGTCCTGCACCTGACGGTGCTGAGGGCCGCACGCACAACCACGCCGACACCGCCGGCTCCTTGCGGGAAGACAGCTTTCAGGTGACGCTGCATAAACGCGACTCCAGCGAGCAGCTTGGCATTAAACTTGTACGCAGAACAGATGAACCAGGCGTTTTTATTCTCGACCTTTTGGAAGGAGGGTTGGCTGCTCAGGACGGCAGGCTCTGCAGCAACGATCGCGTTCTTGCAATTAATGGACATGACTTGAAGCATGGGACACCTGAGCTTGCTGCTCAGGTTATACAGGTAATTTGCATTCCCTACCTGAGTCCTGAGCTCAGCTTTATTTCTTGGGCAACGCCTAGGGTAGAGTCTGTCCCAGACAGAACAGCTAATGTAATGCCTGAAAGCCTCCAGCGATGCAATTTGCTGTGATTTATGTTCTGGAAATAATAGTGCAAAACAGGGTATGCCTTGGCACCTGGCAGATGAACTTCACCTCTTCAGAAGTGAAAAGTGCGTTAGTCTTCCCTGGCATACCGCCCAAAGGTTAGAAAACTGCTCGTGTGAGCAAGGAGAGCACCATGTAGCCTGTTGCTTTGCAGAAAAAAAAAAAAAAAGAGGATTATTGTTGTATTTATGTATGTACTCTAGTTTTAATCTCTTGGTAAGCCTTATAGAAGTGGGCTTTGTTTTGTATTGATTTGCCTGTGCGTGGAGTTGGAGTTAAAACAGGAAAGTGATTTGTCAGACTTTGTGGAAGCAACGGGTAGCAGCTGGGAAGGAAAATAAATAGGTCTTCCGTGAGTCCTGTGCAATAAAACTCATTTTCTGAGTGTTCCAGAAAGGGCTGTTCCCAATGTCTGGCTCTGCTCTGGACACACTACCCAAAGCTTGATGCCGTATGACATAGGACCCTTCCCACTTCCCACAGGAAAACCTTTACTCCATGCCTTTCTCCCAGGCGGTAAGGAAACAGCTGCAGCACCTTGCTCCTTCCTGCCGACGGGATGTTGGTGAAAATCGCTCTGTTTTTAGGAAACTTGGAATAGACCAGTAGTAGGTTCTTGGGGTCTACTACAGTCATTTTTCCTTAATCCAGCACCATGTGGAGAACTGTGATAAAAATTAGTAGTAAATATTTGTTTCAGAAGTCATTTCAGGAGCTTCCCTTGCAGTTAAAGGAAAATAACAACAATCTTGGGAATTGTACTTTCAGTTTCCAGGTTTTGGACATACAGTGAAGTGGTCAGAATTTTACACTGGGTAACTTTTATCCATTGAGGTGTGGTTTTGTGACAATGGAAAGAGTTGATGGTTTATTTAACATCTGGTAGCTGAGTCTCCTGATACTCCCAAACTCCAGAATTTGATGGTCTGCTTATATATAACATCTTTCTTGGAAGTCTCTTTGGGAAGCACCAGAGGTATTCAGAGGTTGTGACCAAAATCTGCAGACCCTGGAGCCATCACATGGGCATTTCTTTCTTTCATTGCTACATGTTGCAGAAGTTCGCAGAGGCTGCAAATGGAATTGGGTGATTTTTTTTTTTTTTTTTTTAATGTGTGAAGCTTCATACCACAAAGTAAGAAACGGTCCTTTTGGTGATGGATTCCAGCTGATGTAAATACAACATCAGAGGCAAAGGAGGAGTGTTAATATCCCTCCGTTCTGGGGGGAATTGCAGGAATAAGCCAGCAAGGGATTGTGCAGTCCGAGCAGTTTGTGGCACCCCCGGGAACTGAAAAACAAGTTCTGCTGTTGTCTTGTTTGATATTTCATGATACGTTTTCCTCCCTCTCTGCTAATAATCAGTATCCCATCAAGTTCATTACTTTGTTTTATGTATTCAACAGGCTAGTGGGGAGAGAGTGAATTTGATCATCTCTAGACCCCTGAAGTCACAGACGGTCAGTATTATCCGAGACACCGGGACTCACAACAGCAACCCACACCAACACCAGTCCCAGCAGCTGTTTCACAGCAGACCCAACTCGCATAAGGTTGGTGTTTCTCCTTCTAAGAGGTATAAATACCATTTTACTCATGGTCTGAGTGTGTAGCAAGGCAAGACTGGAAGAAACGCTTATATCTTCTTTTTTACCTACTTAAAAAAAATAAAAGACAACTTCCAAGTACTCAAATCCTGCATCATGTCTGGAGTGGAATAAAAGGTATGCAACAGCTTTTCAGTATTTTTTTGGATTTGCTGACTGCAGTGAAAGAAGCAAGTTCTCTGAGCTCAGAGAGCTGTAGTTGCTAGACCTAGTCTAAGGCAGTGGCTCATGTCTTACTGCTGTATGGGAGAGCTGTCATCCAAGAACATTGCGGGGCGGGGGGGTTTGTTGCCACTGTGCTGGCTGCAACCAGCAAGGACAGGAGATGTGGTGCACACCATCCAGCACAGAAAGAGCACGTTGGAGGCATGTGTCATCTCCGTGAGCCAGCAGTGCTGGCTGCAGGTCTGCCGAGTTCTGCAGGGTCAAGCAGAGAGAGAAAGGCAGAACGAAGAGATTTTCATGAAGCTAGTGTCAAATTACCTGGAAGACCTGCAGAAATAAAAACTGTGCTCGAGATGTTCTTGAAAATGACTAGAAAGTTAGAAAAATATGACTTCTCACTGTTGAGATGTTGACGTTGTGAAATAATTATAATTTTGACCATGTCAGCCAAGCCACCTTTCCTCCTGTCTGCTCTGTTGGCATCACTGTTTAATGTCATACTCCTGTTGGGAGCATTTACATGTGTTGTTAGTATTTTCTTTTAAGAGTTTGGGTAATTTCAGGAAAGAACAAGTGAGGCTCTAGGAAGCTTGTTTTCCTCCTGAGGGACAAAGGTGAGGCTCCTGAATACAGTTAGTGACCGTTAGTACTTCCCACAATGTTAGGCCGTATCAGCACAGCAATTACAGCTCATCTGTATGGGAACTTGAACCCCCTCTCCATCTGATGCCAGCATGGGTTGTGTTTACCGCAGTTCCAAAGTTGATCCGTTGGCTGAGCTGATTTCCCTCACGTATCCATACCATCCTCAGCTCTTTCAAAGTGGGAAGCCCCGTGTAACCACAAGTGGACATTTCCCACGTTTCATACCATTTATCTTTGCCTCTCTCTCATTAACCTACAGTTGGCTTAGAAGTCTTGTGGCTTAAAACATGGTCCTATAATTGCATGACACCAGCCAGTTAGTCCTAAAGCATGAAGACTTAAGAAGGAGCTAGCTGTCTTGATAAGCTATGGTATGTATATGTATAGCTACAGATGTGATGAACAGGTATATGCAAGGAGCGGTGTCAGTCTGAAGGAGCATGTGGCATCGGAAGTCACAGAAAGCAGCGTTGCCATTTTCCAAGAGAAGGCAGGGGAATAAATAAGTATTTGTGGTTGGAAGAATCTCCCAGCTTATTTCTTCTGTTATTTTGGATTCCTTGCAAATGTTCTGTTGATTTAAGATGCTACTACAGGTGTATGTGCTGTGGTTTGAATGTATCACTAAATATCCTGAAGAGGAAGGGCTTCAGCAAATAAAATATACTTTGACTCAGGTTTTGATCCTTTTGATGGGGCAAAACTAAATATGGGCTAAACTTTAGAATTCAGGTGTTTAGGAAATGGAACACAGGATCTCTTCTTGCTTGAAGGTTAGGTCCTCTTTGTAGTCATGAGGGAGTCTGCACAAGGCACCCATTACCAGCCTGTGGCATCGGTTGGCCGTAGTCACTTTGTGCTCGGGGAGATTCCCCGTGCCGGCTGCGAAAGGCAGCATGCCGCAGAAGGGCTTTAAATGGTCTCTCTTTGTCATCATGAAAACACACGTTCTCATTTCTTAGGAGCTCCTCTGTAGTTCTGGGCCATATCCTACTGACAAATGAGGTAATGCTGATGTTCACCAAGACATGAAAAGATTTGTTTCTGGTTTGTGTCCACTCTTTTGACCATATGGTTTTGTAGTGCTGTCTTAAAATACAGCCTACTCCAGTGTAGGATGCTAAGAAAAACTGGAGTGAAATTTTCAAGATGGGCCTTTATAAACGTTCTGTCTATATTTCAGTATCTACATGAGTGGCTTTTTTGGGGGTTTAGTTGGTTTTTTTTTTTCTGACTTGGAGGAAATCCAGCTGAAGCCCATTTGCACTACTTAGTCCTTTTAAACCGTTGTGTTCAAGTGCCAAAGTATCGCTTTGGGGTGTATTTAGTTGTGTTTTGTTCTGCTTTTTTTTATTTTTAAGTTTTAACAACGTTATTTATCCTTGTCAAACAGGATCTCTCCCAGTGTGTTACATGCCAAGAAAAGCACATTACTGTGAAAAAAGAACCACATGAATCTCTGGGAATGACAGTGGCAGGAGGCAGAGGCAGCAAAAGTGGCGAACTGCCCATCTTCGTGACAAGCGTACAGCCTCACGGGTGTTTGGCAAGAGACGGCAGGATTAAACGAGGTGGGGCTTGGATTTCCTGGTGCTCTGATTGCTCATTGAGTACGTGCTCCGAAGTTGAGGGTGTCAAAAAGTCTCTTCGCAGATGTAGGGAAGCGCTGATGGATGCTTTTTTTTCATGTTTCAATGATGGAAATGGAGTATTTAGTATCGCACTTCCACCTTTTCTAGGAAAGGGATGTTTGGAGAACGATAACAGGGGAAGTGGATAAGGCCAGGAAATGTCTGGTTAAATTCTTTAAAGCTGACGGTAATCCCCTGAGCTGAGGGTCCGGTGTGATGCTTTGTGCTGTAGTGCACGCATCCTGTTTTTGTGTTTCATTTGGTGGGCTGGGCCCCACCTCTGTCCGAGGAATCTCTGCTCCTCAGTATAACACCTGAACAGCAGAGATGCTCTGATGACAGGCCACAGCTCACCCGTGCCAGGTGTACCCCGACAGCTACAGCGGTGCTGAGCCTGGTTCCTGAATGCTTTATCCTCTGGGACTGCTTGGGTGTGCTGGTCTTCAGGGCTGCTACAGCACCCGTCCTTCTTCCTCGGCTTTGCAGAAGGGAAGGTGGGGATTAGACTCGGCGTAGGTGAAGGCAGTCCTGCCTGATCGATAGCAAAGCATTTGATGGTTAAAACATATGGTGTCCTATGTGAAGCAAAGACTGCCTATGGGATCTCCGTGATTCAGAGTTCACAGAATTACAGATTGGTTTAGGAAAGAAATTTAGGAAAAAAACTTCACAGATTGCAAATTTAAAAAGAACAGTGTGGGAGCATGCTTGTATGCTCCTGAGAGAGGGAGATTTACACCCACATACCAACGGGTATGCTTTCTATTTCTGTACTACTATGAAAAACACACTTGACAGAAGAATCGCAATTGCTCTTTCATTGTGTAACATTAAAGTAGCCACAGCAGCAACAAAAGTGATTTCAAGTTAAGCTGGACCTCAACTTTAGCTTTCCCTGGGAGGAAGAAGCTTTTAAAAAAGGAGTCTGGTTCCAAATGTGACCCAGGCGTTCGTCCTTTTGCTTTGGTTTTTCTGTCTTTCATTGGTAAGTGAGACATTGTGTGAAAGAGGAGCCTGTCACTGCTTGGACAGTAAATAACACTCTTGTTTTCATCCTGAGGCTTTAAAAAAAATATTGTGAAATAAGATAAAAATTGTGGCAGTTTTTTTAGTGGCTTCGACTCTTTCCAGATTATCTTTGTAGAGATGACCCATCTTTCTTCTAATGGACCAGGTTTTGTACCAACCTTTCCAGTAGTTTTTTTAATTCCATTTTGTTCTGTCTAGCTACAAGTTGGAAAAAGCAGAAGACCTAGAATACTCTGTGGAGCCTCACTTACCTACAAGTGTCGGTTGCTTTGTGGTGGCTGCATTGTTCCTTCCATCATTCTTCCTTCCCTTTTAAAGTTAGGGTGGACCTAAGACCCACCACTGGAAACGAGTATGTAGTGGCGTCTGCAATAACAGTTGCAGCCGAGATGCTGAGATGCTCAGATGATTTCTGTATCAAATTTTCAGGGCGATATACCATATAACACATACCATTTGATGTGTTATGTGGAAATAAATGATACTGATCCAGCTTAATAGTTCAATACATTGATGTTTCAAACTGACAGTATAAGGCTTCACAGCTTTTCACATTCCCAGGCTGTTAGTTCAGACTGTCTCAGCTCCAAAAAATACAGAATTAAATGAAACCCTGGCGCGGGAGGTGCTGTCGGTAGGAAAGACTTTGACAGACTGATGCGTTCTCCCTTGTGCCTTTGTACAGGTGATGTGCTGCTGAACATCAACGGCATTGATTTGACTAACCTCAGTCACAGCGAGGCGGTGGCCATGCTGAAAGCTAGTGCTGCCTCTTCGGTAGTCGCCCTGAAAGCCCTGGAAGTCCAGATTGTAGAGGAACAGCCCCAGGCTAATGAAGAACAATTGAGTACCATCAGTGAAAATGAATACGATGCCAGCTGGTCACCGTCGTGGGTCATGTGGCTGGGACTTCCAAGGTACGGAATTAATTGATAAAGCAATTAGTTACCTGTTTTAAGCCAACTCCAAGAGAGATACGAAAGCAGAGACCTTACTAGTTGCAGCACATCTGCCCCTATTTCTGCCCAACTGCCCATCTCCGCAGCGTTTGGTTAGCAGTGTGCTTACGGAGCGGACTGTGAACGGGAGCAATGTTTCCTTAGGAAACTGGAAGATGAATAGACTTGGTTTATGCCTTCACAAACAATAGTAACTACCCATGTGGATTCTTCTCAGTGAACACAAGTCGTCTTTTCTGTTGTTTAACCATATCGTAACTTTCTGTAGAATATATAAAACCAGAGAGATTATTAATAAAAACACAAAGTATATACCCACGTGTCTCTTTGCTAATCTGCTACCTAAATTTACGAGGCCAAATATATAACTTTAGAGTATTGGATCAGACTTGCCATTCTGACAGACTCTTGACATAGGTCTCTTGCACACGTATGAGCCTGTAGTTACAGGTCTCCGTGTAGCGATAGGACAAGAGGCAAAGGCTTTAAACTGGAAGAGGGAAGATTTAGATGAGATATGAGGAAGAAATTCTTCCCGGTGAGGGTGGTGAGGCAGTGGCAGAGGTTGCCCAGAGAAGCTGTGGCTGCCCCATCCCTGGGAGTGTTCAAGGCCAGGTTGGATGGGGCTGTGAGCAACCTGGTCTGGTGGGAGGTGTCCCTGCCCAGGGCAGGGGGGTTGGAACCAGATGGGCTTGAAGGTCCCTCCCAACCAAACCATTCTATGACGATTCTATGGTGGATGGTTTTTTTCATTACGTCCATTCAGAGGTAGCAAAGATGATGCATGGATTTTTAGATCTTTACTTAAAAGTAGAAAAAGCCTAAACTGACTGGAGGTGGAAGAAAAATGCACTGCATTTTTGATTTGCAAACTAAACACGTCAGGTATCCAGTTTCCGCCCCTGTTCTTGCCACCTGTGAAATCCTTAAAATGCCATTCTATTACTGTCACTTCACAGAGTTAACTGTGTTTGAGTAATTATTCTGGCACTGCATTATTTCTTTTAAAACACTTTTCTGTCTCAAGATTATGGTTTTTTTCAGTAATCGGTTTGAATATTGCAAAATTTCTCTGGGAACAGAAGTTTAATCGTCATCCCTCCCCTTCTCTTCCACGCTTAGCACAGTGGTAATGATGAGACAGCAGGTGTTGTGCCTACTATAAAAATATCTATATGTGGTATACATGGCTTTATCTCTTCCTATCCTGTGCTTCCATTCCACAGCTGCCTACATAGCTGCCATGACGTGGTGCTGCGGCGGAGCAATTTAGGGAGCTGGGGTTTCAGCATCGTCGGTGGCTATGAGGAGAACCACACGAACCAGCCTTTCTTCATTAAAACAATTGTTCTTGGAACTCCCGCGTACTTTGATGGAAGATTAAAGTAAGCTGAAATAATAGTAGTAATAATAATAGTCAACACTTTTAAATAGTTACGTGCTGGTGCAACTAATTGCTTAAGGAAGTAGACTGTAGCATCTTGTGCTGGGGGGATGATGCAGCCCGGTAGTGCTTTGCCTCCCTGATGAGTGTGATGCAGGGAAATACGGGGTGTTTCTGGTGGGCGAGTGGTGTCTGTCAGAGGTGGTGCGTGTGCTGGCACACACAACATCACCTGATGTCACCCGCTGTCACCGTCTCCCTGTTGAACTCTTCTTTAGGCTGAGAGACATCGCAAAATGTGTATGTGCAGAACTGGCTAGTTCGTAACGTTTTTATCTTCCTAGAGAACAGCTAAACAACTACAACGTATTTCCATAAAGTGGGGGAAACTGCTTTGTGCTTTCATATAGCCTTCTGAAGCCACTGCTGGAAACTCTGGTACTGACGATGGGTGCTGCTGGTTTAATGGAAGGGCGAGAAAGTAAATGAAAAAGATCTCTGAAAAGATCGTTAAGGACCTGAGTCCCCATGCCAGTGCCCTGAGAGTCATTAGTTGGCAGGAAAGACACTGATAAATGAGGAAAGGTCAGTAGAGGCCCCTGAGATGGTGGGAGCTGGATCACTTGCCCCACAAGGAGAGGGCTTCAGGGGCAACCAACAGCCCCTTCCAGTTACCTACAAGGAGATTATCCAGTACCTATATGGAGATTATCAAGGAAACAGAGCCCAGGCTTTTCACAGTGGTGCAGGGCGAGAGGACAAGAGACAATGGGCACAAGTTGAACAAAAGAGGTTTGAGACTCGTTATAAGGAGAAATTGTTTCCCCATGAGGACAGTCAGCATTCTATGAGTCTGGACCACCAAGTGGTGTGGTCTTTGCCCTTGGAGGTTTCTGAGACCCAACTGGATAAAGCCCTGAGAGATCTCGCAGCTGACTTTGCTTTGAGCAGAAGATGCATCTATAGACCTCCTGAGGTCCCTTCTGACCTTAAAGATTACACAGTTTTACTTACACGTTAAGTTTGCATGCAGCCCCCAGGTCTAGTATCCATATATGCATCTTAGCCTCATGTAGGATTAGTTCAGAACTAGGACTTACAATTCCTATTAAAGGTTCTCTTGTTCGTAAATGGATTTTTTGTGAAGGTGGCAGTGAAGAATATGCAACTTGAAGTTTTACGGCACGATTTTTACATGTAGATTTACTTACAAAGTAACTTCAGAAAAAAAATGTACTTATGCCTAGAGCCTTGACAGTAATTGATTTTTCAGGTCAATGACTAAATAAATAGATGAAAAAATAGCTTGGCTGAACACAAAATTACTTTTTTTTTTGGCCAACTGTGGAACAGTTTGGATTAAATGAAAGATCTCAGTTCAACCCAAAGTAAATAATTTCAGATTCAGGACTTAGAAGTATTTACGCAAATGGAAATTCAAGCATCATTCCTAAGAAGGGGGGAAGAGTGGTTGTGGTCACACTTACCCCCTTGCAAGGAACGGAAAAGGTTCTCTTGTGTGATAGTGTGGTGGAACCCTCTGTTCCAGTGTACCGTCTCACTGAGAGTATGGACTTAAAAATGGGCCGTCAACAAGAGAGAGCTCCTTAGAACCTGCACTGTGAGTTATCGTGGGGCAGGTCTTTTTGAAGCTGTTCTGTTTTGTTTAAATTATCTAAATGTTTTGTTAGGCTGGAGAGGAAAGGAGTAAATAACTTCACAGTTCAATAGGTAAGACAGTTTTCTGCCTACGTGATCTGTCTGGTGTGATTTTATAGAAGGTGAAATGACTTCAGCAGAAGGGCTGGGTGAGTGAGACCCCGCTCAGTGAACTGTAGCGTTGTGGTTTGGGTGATGGGGTACCCTGGTTCAGACAGAGAAGGACTTTTGAATGCACGTTTGGCTGGTGTTGGTCACGCTGCCTCTTCTTCCTCTCCTCTGCCCTACTGGAGGGCACCAAGAGAGCTCAGGAGAGCATCTTTTTGCCATCCGTTTTGGTGCCTCCGGTAGCTGGGAGGATCGGTTTCAGGAAAAGTCCTGTTTGATCTCCAGAGTCATGTTTGACTGCTCGGGGGATGCTGAACACACTCTCAAGTCGCAGAGAAGAGATGCCTGGAGATGGAGCATGTTCAACGTAGGAAGAACTTTGGTGCTTTTTTTTGAAGTTTCTCTTGAGCTTGTAAAAACTGAAACTTAACCCTTCGAGGTCAATTTTCTCAAGGCCAGCAAACAGCACCTTCCCAAACTTCTGTTCCCTGCTTCAAAACGCAGAGATGCTACAGCTTCTCAGTTGAACCATCTGCTGAGGGAGATTTCAAGCCAAATGGTTACGTTTGACAAAACCGTAAGCCATTGAAAACAAGGTTCTCAGTTGGAATGCGGTTGATAACCAGAAGTATCTTTACTTACACCTCCTACGGTGAAGGCGTGTTTGGTGTAAACGTGTTATAATCCACACAAACAAACAGAAATGCTTCTGTCATGCACATGCTATCTCATTAGCTTCTCTTGACTCCTCCCTTAGATCTTCCCAACTCTTCTCTTTTCACATTTCCCTACGGGTCAACTCTTAATTCAGAACTATTTTTGTATTAGAATTGAAATCTAGTGATTCAGGAATTTCCAAGATGAGTTTCAATAGTAAAACAGACTTAAAATCGAACCCCTTTGGGTTTTTTAGCTACACTTCCAACCTGCTGCAGACCTGTCAGCCCAGCGATGAAGTGCCGTTTGTTGGTGTGTACTGGTTACTGCAGAGCAGTAGTCGTCATCTGGGTTTTTTCTTCTTGTGTTTTTCAGGTGCGGTGATATGATTGTTGCTGTAAACGGGCTATCCACGGTTGGAATGAGCCATTCTGCACTCGTTCCCATGCTGAAGGAGCAGAGGAACAAAGTAACTTTAACTGTGATTTGCTGGCCTGGAAGCCTCATATAGATTTGCAAATCGCTTTGGTTCAAGCGGTGTCTTTTTCTAGATAGCTGGCACAAAAATCTCCTCTATCTTATTTTCACTGTTGATACAGCTGGTTATAAGCAGGGCCAAAACTGCTGTGTTTTCTTTTTTACGGGCCTCTCAGAATTACTCTATATATCTTTCCATCCTGAAATAGCCATTTCTGTTTGCTATATCTATTGCTGATGCAAATGCAAATATACATGAGCTCACAGAGAAATTCCCACTCAGATAGGGCTGTCATTGAGCTTTCCCCGTCAGGTTTGTAGAGTCAGCAGAAGAACTTAGTGGTTCTTCGGGTTTCTCTGCACAGTCCTCAAGTTCCACGTGATACATAAACGTAATAGCCATGTACCCGTTCTTCCCCGCGAAGAGAGCGTGTGTCAGAATGGCACATCTCCCTGCTGCTGTGAATCACAGTCTGTTTCCAAAGGTACGTCTCTTCGTTTCGTAAGCCTTTCCATTTTTCAGTCACTATTTCAGACTGATCCAAGTAATCCATCTCACTCATCAGAAATTACTTGGTCCTCCAGATTTTTCTTGCAGGGCATCAGTGTTCAGAGAAAAGTAGGACAAAAGCCTGATATTACTGGAATTTTTCTAAAGTGCAATAATTGGACTCTTTGTTAGGAAACTTTAATATATTACAGAGTTTGTATCCTATAATGACAAGAAATATGGAAGTAATTACTGTTGCAGTGCTGGCAAGAATACCCGTACCCGAGGTCGCCTTTGAGTGAATAGCTTGCGGTATTAGACTTGACTTTACAAATGAATGTTTTGCTATGTCAGAGAATTTTGATGAGCATTTTTACGAAGATCATTTTTACCGTTTCTATTGTAGTTGTCAGCTCTCTTTATTCACGCGTGGAAACAATAACTTTGACTTGTGCTTTCTAAATGAGAGAATTATTTCCAGGAAAAAAGCAAGCTATTAAGAAACCATACATTATGGTTTACGGGTGGGCAGGCAAGGAGGAAGGCTCCTTGAGTTCAAGTCCAACTACAAAGTGAGCTGCAAAACCCACTCGTGTTTTGTCACCTCCTGATAAACGTGCAAATGCCTTGGTACCAGATGCTGAAACGATCTCGCTTGCATTTCAGGATGGTTTTTGTTTCGTGGTTTGTTTTTTTTTTTTTCCTTTAGAGAGCACCTGCTATTAAGTTGTCAGTACGAGTAATACTGTTTATCTTGGGTTGTATTTAGTATTTTTACAAAGCAACCGGTAACTTCTAGACTTTGCCTTTCCGTGATATTTGCAGGCTAAGCACCCGTTTGTTTAAGAAAAGAGGGGTGGAGCGCAGAAAGAAATGTGCTGACCTGGAGCTAACCCTGTGTGTTGTCAGTGTTCTGCACATTTGAAAAAGAGCTTCATTTATAAACCAGGTTCCCGACCTGAACTGATTTTATGAATGACCTCTGTATTGTATTATTAATTACCAGAGAATGTATTTGAGAATCACAGCATATTTCAATTGTGAAGCATGAACTTTATTTTCAAACTTAGCTGGTATAATATCGGGGCATATTATCGCATGTCATTAATTCCGGTAGCTTTGTTTTCAAAAGAAATAAAGTTACTCTTTTGCAAAAAAGTTGTAAAAATCTCATATGAATGAGGTGGTTTTATTCCTCTCTGTAATGTATGCTATCGGTTTAATTTCGTGATATTAAAATACAAAGGAACGTCCTCTACAGTATATTACTGTGCTGAGAATCTTTGTTTCTGAAGCAAACACCGAACTTATTTGATACTCGGATTTGAGAACAAGTTTCCTCCCGTTCCCAGATGCTGCGTAGCTGTATGCTTTGCTCCTAATGCAGATTTTTTTGTAAAGTGCATCTTAGCGTAGACTTTAGGGAAGATTTTGACATATGTACTAGATTTAATGGGGTTTTATTTTACAAATTACACTTTTCGTTCAAAACCCTGCCAAAGTCAGATTTTTAGATTTCTTTTTGTCTTTTATATGTATACGTAATGAAAGCATGGGTTAGCTTAAACTGTGCGGTTTTGTTTCTGTGTGCTGTAGCTTTTAGTCAGAATGTCGAGCAACAAAACCTTTCTGAATTAATTCCCTTCCTGAATCATTTTTCCCCTTTCTCTTGTAGCTGCATAGTTGGGTTTGGTTTTCTGTGCCTTCTGTTTTAATTTCAAGATTTTTTTTTTTTTCTCCAGACATTGCTATCTAATTGTATCGTATTAATGAAGGACGAATGAAAATAAAAGTTCATTCCACTCGTTGTAATAACTCAAAGTATCGTCTCACTCATTGCAAAAGATAGAGGTGGCTCAGTGCAGACGCAGTCTGAAGTTGGTTGTGGTTGGGTTTTTTTTCTGTGATTTGTCATAAATAACAGTTAGCGAATGTACCGAAAGAGCCTGAGGGCACGCTCATCCTGCCGGGGTACGTACCAGCCGTGTAAGCGGTAATTCCAGCGCGGGGGAGCGTTTCGAAAGCGGAGGCGAGATCTGTGCCTTGCGGTACTTTGCCCCTTCCCCCTCAGCGCCGACTGGTACCCGTGGGCTGGGGGAGGTTTTCACAGCAGAGGTTTGATGCAGGGAGACAGTCTTGCTGGAAACATCAGTTTTACAGCTGGAACTTGAGGCTCCTGGTACTCCGTTACCAGCTCCATCTCCTGCAGGCAAGTACGCTCTGTCTTTAGACATCTGTGAAGCTGGAATGAGCCTAAAAGCAATTTCTTAATGATTTGCAGTGAAGTTGCCCAGCACCTGGATTCCTATCCCTTGCAGTAGTTAGTGGGTTACGAATAGATGAGTTCCTTTAAAATAAAACGATGCCTCTGTACGGGAACGCAGAAGCAGCCAGCCGTGTCTGCCGGTAGGTTATTAGCTCTTGTACTTCTTGTAAGGCAAGAGCCAGACCCGTCAGAGTTTTGATTTGCAGAGAGATTGAAGAACTCATTGCTGCAGGCGAAGGTGCGCAGAGCCGCGGTGTGAGGTGGTGGACCCCTGGCCGTGGGCATGCTGGAGCTTCGCGGGAGGGACGCCTTCCCCAGACAGCCCTGGGGATCTCCAGCGAGGAATGTGAAACGGCTTGGTCTGCTTCACAGCGTGCTGACGAAGCGAAATCTGAAGGTATTTCTTTTGCTGCTCTAAACTTCTTATTTAGAGTCAGGAACAACTGAGGGGAAAATTCACCATCACAAAAGAATTAATAATTCATTTATTTGCAAATTCCCTAATAGGTCGGGGGCAGGTATAATGAAAATCTAAGCCTTGTTCTCAGCTGTAGCGTGACCCAGATCATATCAGAAGCAAGGTGAGTTCCTTTTAGCTAAGGAACCTGATCATTTACTTCTGAGGCAATTTTCATGGATCATAAAAATTTATTAACGACATAAGGTAGGGGATCCCGAGGAGTTAAAAGAATGAGTACGCCAGGCAGGCAGCAATGACGGCAACCACAGCGTTAAGGCCACACGTGTCTGATGGCACAGGGCCCAAGAAGATGATGTTACACCGAGGAAGGTGAGCGAACATCCTCATCCCAGTCGTCTCGGGCGACTTCCAGGTAAGCTTACTTAAAAAAAAAAAAGCTTACTTACTAAAAAGTGGATGTCCCCCGACACATAGAAAAAGGAGAGACAGAAAATGATTTGCAGTGACCTCATCACACCTGACATAAATCTGTCTGGCTAGTGAAGAGCAATTCCTACATTACCTGTTGTCCAGAGGGTGGCGAAGGCTTTAGACTTTATGCTTCTGGGACAATTCAAAAAATGTTGTATGGGTCAGAAAGCTTAATTCTAGCTAAATGTTGGTGTTGTCCTTCTGTTTGTCACCGTGTTGCAGTCCAAGGTGGATGCGATGCCCGCATCAGTGACGCATTGCCGTTGATCTGGTGGTGATGGGCGCCTTTCCGTAGAGTGACGCAGGAAACTTCAGACAACTCGGAGATGAGAGGCCCAAGAGTCCGGTCGAAGGTGCACCGCCTGCTCGGCATCGGCTGTGGCTGTGGCATTTGCGGCGCCTGGAGCTGTTTTAGGAGAAGGAACGTGTTTGGGGGTTGTTTTCGTTGTCAAACGATGCTGGTAAGGGCTGGCTGGCGGAATCTGTGGGTGGCAAGCACAGCCAAGCAGAAAGAGCGCGCTCCTCGGCGGGGAAAACCAAGGTGGTTTTGCCAAAGGAGGAACGCGAGCCAACCGCTCCCATGGCAGGAGGGGGAGGAATTGGGCAAGAGAGGGAAGGGGTAGAGCCTCTTCTGCGGCTGTCGGGGGCAAATATCACACCTAGGAGGTATCACACTCCTTCCCAAGTAGCAGTAGCTACCTTAAACACCTCAACTCCCCTCCCAGACCTTTCCTGCCCTGCCTTAGCGGCAGCAACCAAATAGAGAGACCACGGCTCAGGTCTAGAGCACGCGAGCCCGTTTTCCCCCCCGCCTTGACCGCCGCCTTCGCCTGCACAGGAGTCGGTGGTCGTGGTCTCAGCGGTGACTCGGTCTTGGGCGTCTCTCAGGGCGGGGGGCTACAGAACCACCCTCCCCACCTCTTCAGATCCAGCTGCAAGGGATCATGTAAACACAGCAGGGGTGCTCTAAGTCTGGTCTAGGAGCTAGGCTTGCCTAAGGCTACGGCTCCGTCGCAGGCAGAACAACCTCTGCTGGGTAGGGGCTTCATCCTGCAGCTCTGCTTTACCCCGAAAGCGTGGCGCACGGTGGTGCAGAGCCACCGACTGTGTTGGTCTGAGACGGCTCTTTGGCCGTGCCGGCGTGGGCAGTCACTGGGGGGGCAGGTGAAGGAGAGGAGGTGAGTTTTAGTAAAACAGAGCGCTTTCTTCATGGACTGTTTCTGTTCATGGAGTAATCGCATCCTCTGCAGCACGTGTTCTGTACCGTGCCTTCAGAGCCGCGATAAATTGTGGCGTATGAGCACTAAATGGCAATGGAAATCAGAGGTGGATGCGTTCTGTTGCGTTAACTGGTTTACCACGAGGCTGGGCACGAGACGTCACGTGAGGGAGATGGTATCGTAAGCAGCGAGAGAATTTAATTGCAATGATGAATTTAATGCTATGATGGGGGTTTAGCTGTGGCCGAGACATGAGCGACTTGCAGCGCCTGCATTGCTCAGCATCCTCGGTACCAGGCAGCAGGACCCAAAATACCATTTTTCTGCCCCTGAAGCAGGCAGGTTTTGAATCTCGGCCAGCCCGGGCCATCCCGCCGGTTCCACGAGCCCTTTCTCTG